CTCCGGAGCGCTATCGCTATCTCATTTTATTTCGCGACGAAAATTAAATAGCGATAGCGCCCCGGGGCGGTGGTGCGCTTAATTCGAACGCATCAAATCCTCATTCTGTCACCAATATATTTAGACTTACGATCCATCACCATCGACTTATGGATAACAAATTATTATAACCAATAAAAAATATCACAACTATTTGTTTATAATTAAATAAACAAATGAATGATAAAAATTTAGAAAAAAAATATTCACGAATTAGAAAATAATTGGATAAGATTATGAAAAAAGATCTAAACATAAATCTTGGTTTTTTATAAAAATTATAGGGAAATCTGTTGTCGACAACTTCAATAGTTCCTGGAGAAGCGGTCACAAGAGCTGGTGGCAGTTATCAGTCTTTAAAAATATTTAATACCAGTATCGGGAGATAAATCTTTATATTTTTAAAAAATCCAGGACACAACGTCGCAAATAACTGCACAACTTCTTGGAGCAGCGGTCACAGGAGCTACTGGTAATTGTAGGGATATCTGTCGCTGACAACTTGACAACTTCCCGGAGCAGCGGTCACTGGAAAATATATCTCCTCTCTGTTATATTTTGTATTTTAAATTCCTTCGCTCTCAATTCGTATGATGACTACGTTTACAATTGTCTTTCTTATAAAAATTATCAGAATTTATATTTATCCGTTATTTACAGATTTCCATAATTACAGATATCAAAATTTATTGGTCTATATTAACAGATTTCTATATTTTAAGTTTACGAATATTAATGATTGTCTATTTTTTTATGTTTCTAAATTTTTAATTGTCTTTTTTTCGACTTGTCTGAATTTATTATTCTTTTCTTTTTTTTTTTTAAATATCAGTCATTTTAGATGTTTATATTCTGATGCGTCTAATTTCACGGAAATCTTTTTTTTTTGATTTTATAATTTTACGCTTATTTTTTTTAAAATAATTCTAATTATTTTGATTACTACATTTTTTCATTGCTATTTTTTAACTAATCGATATTGCAAAGTATCCTCAATAAGACACATCATTTTTTTATTATTTCTGAAATCTTATTTTTCCATATTTTTCATTTATTGATTTCCTTACTCACAGATTTCCAAAATTTGATGTTTCCATTTTCTGTAAAATTTCCGACCGTAAAGAATCAATGAAACGCATTTTACAAACAAAACAAAATCGAGGATTATTTACCAATAGAAATGAATTCAGCATAATTAAAAGCCGTGAATTCATTTCTATTCTTTTTATAATTCGGAAAGCCAGAAATAGAAAAATTATTTAGTCATTGAATAGAATTGATTTGAATTTATTTTCTAGATACGATAAAAAAATTGAGAAATTAAAAGTATAGAAATAAATTCATTTTCGTCATTTTAATTCTTTTCAATTGATTTTTTTAATCAGGGATATATAAACTAACAGAATCTTTAAGTATGTAAATTATTATTATTATTATTTTTATTATAAGGATATAAGTATTCAAAATTTTTGTACCAAAAAATTATTTTTAAAAAATTACATTTGTTATTTTTTAAAATTTCTATGTCAATTTTTTTTTTTAATTTATTTTTTGACACAATTTTATTGTTATAAAATTCGTAAAATAATTCAATATATGCTAAATAAATTTTCATTCATAAATTTATTTTTATCAAAAATTAATTTATATATTTCAGTTTGATTTTCTATTAAAGTGTATTTTTAGTTTAATTGTCTAATCTAGTATTTGTTTGAATACCAGGAAAAAGGAAAAATGTTTGTACACACATTAGAACTTTCTGAACGTATACAATTATAAGCAAATATTTTCAAAGCTATATATAAATAAGCCTAAAAATAAAATCTTTAATGAGTAATCTATTGTATTTAAAGTACTGTCATAAATTAATATTTCAAGGAAGAAATTACCTTGATTATTTACTTTTATCAAAGAAAAACCTGAGAGGTATTATTAATTAGTAGCAGTCAGGAAAATCAGCAGCCACATTTTAGTCAAAAATTTTGGAGCGAACGGACGTTTTAATAAAGTTTCATTTTATAAAATTATAAATTATATATATATTTTACTTATTTGAAAAAATTAAAAATTTTTCTATAATATAAAAAATGACGATTATAAAACTCCAAAGTAACGACGGAGTAGTGTTTGAAGTTGATGTGGAAATAGCCAAGTGTTTAACAATCATCAAAACGATGTTGGAAATCCTTGTAGTTGACGAAAGCGATGAAGAAACGCCGATTCCTCTGCCAAACGTTCACTCTGTTATTTTGGAAAAAATAATCCAGTGGGCCACTCATCACCATAAAGATGACCCGCCGTTCGTGCATAGTTGTGATGAAGGTGCTTCACTACATACAGACGAGATGTGTTCATGGGACGCTAAATTTTACAATATGGAAATCAGAATGCTCTTCGATCTTATTAAGGCTGCCAACTACCTCGATATCAAGTTCATTTTCAAAGAAGCTTACAGAAATGTAATTGTAGCTCTTTTGAAACAAGGGTTCACACATGAGCAAGTTAAGAACTTGTTACATGCCGAAAATATTTTTGATTCGGATGAAGACGAATGACTTTGTAATTTTTAAATTTAAATTTTAGGAAGAAATGTTTTTACAAAATAATTATTTTTGTATTAATACAAATATGTATGTAATACAAAAACAACAATACAATTACAAAAACTATAAGTGCAATTTTTTAAAAATATTTTTTCAGTTATAATTTAATAAATTAAACAAAATAAAAAAATCAAAAGTGTCGGCTAACTTTATTATTATAGTTAATTTTATAAATATAATAAATGATTCACGGAGAAAAATTAATATATTTTTTATTTAAATGTGTTAAATATTAAATATTTTAAAAAACTATCGCCCACAGCGTTTATGCTGGTTATACTGTTTTGGCGCTGCAGTCGCTCACAGTGAGAATATTTTCAAGTGTAGACTTCATACGTCATAGCCATCTTTGGTAGTCATCTGTCATACACACATACACAGACACATGTGACACACTTGTGTAAATGTGTATGTGCAAACTGTAAACTGGTTGACGTTGACGTTCATTCACGTCCATTGTGTCTGCACACTCTTTAATAATACCACCGACCATAAAAATCCATAACTAAATTAAAGTGATGTTTGATTAAATCGATTTTCGTGTGTTTATTAGTGGACACAAAACTTGGCCTGACATCAGTATCTTGGGACGTACCAGCTTATATATAATAAAATGTTATCGCACAATATTTTTTTAACGTTAAACGTCTTGGTGACAGTTGTCTATGGGTTCGTCAAAGAATCAGGCACCTCTTCAATAAGGAACCCAGTTGAGGATTTTATAAAACCTCACTATCATAATTATGAAGAGATAAAAGAATTGTTCAACAAATTGGAGGAGCAGTATCCAAATTTAGCAAAGGTACATTCTATAGGTAAATCAACCGAGGGTCGGGATTTGTTGGTTCTAGAGATTTCAGAAAATGTCAAGCAACGTGATATTGGAGAACCAATGGTTAAATATGTTGCCAACATGCATGGTGATGAATCTGTTGGTCGACAGCTCATGGTTTACTTGGCGCAGTATCTTCTTGCTAATTATTATGTTGATCAAAGGATCAGAAGATTAGTAAACAATACTGACATTTTCCTCATGCCATCTCTTAACCCAGATGGTTTTGAAAAGTCTAAGGTATGATTATTAAAAATATTTTCTTTTTATTCTTTGGTATAATACTAGAAACTTGAAAATTAAAATTAATTCAATCAAAATTAAATTAGCCGACATCTGAAAATTTTTATTGAAAAAATTGTTACAATAAAATTAAAAGAAAAAATTTCACATGTAGAAAATTCGAAAAATGATACCTGCAATTTTTTTAAAGTATTTTTTTACTTGCAATTTAATTGTTGAAAAAAATAGAAAAATTTTTGAAGGTCGGCTAACTTCAGTATTATTGAAAATTAAGTTAGCTGACATTTAAAATATTTAGAATTTTTTTTTATTAAAAAAATTATTACAGAAAAAATACGAAAAAATTATCATGTGTAAAAAACTTGAAAAATTGTGAGTGCAATTTTTAAAAAATATTTTTTTGTTCTAATTTAATTAATGGAAAAAATCAAAAAATTAAAAACTTTAATATTATATTAATTTAGCATATATTTTATATTTTTAAGAATTTTATGACAAATAAATTATGGCAAAAAAAATTGACATGTAGAAATTTTAAAAAATTAAAAATGCAATTTTTTTAAAATAATTTTTTGGAATATTTTTGCTAAATAAAATTAAATGCTAAAATAACTGCTAACTATAATATCATAATCTGCAGTCACAGTGCGATTGTCAAAAATTACGGATTATAGATAAGAAAACTTTGGTTTATTGATTTTTTAATATTTAGAAACACTACCTGTTAAAAATTTCTATTGTAATTTTACAAGAAATGTATTGGAAGCTAATAGGCAAAACATTTATTTAAAATTACAATCGGGTATAGTAAAATTACAAAACATATGGGGCATTCCACGCCAAATCAACCACTTTTGACCCTGACCCCTTTTGATTTGGCTGAAAGTTTACCATCCTTTTCTACCCTATCAAAAACGTCTCTTATAATTTTTTCAAATTTTTTTACCCAACCAAAAAAAAGTTCCGAATTTTTCAAAAAAACCGCTTTTTTATTTTTAAATTGCCATAACTTTTTCAAAAATTGGCTTATCGGGACGTTTTTTTTTTTTTCAAAATTTTTGTTATTAAATGTTCTTTTTGGAAAAAAATATAAAAAAATTCTTTAAAGCTATCTTCATCGTTATTTTTAAAATTTTTAGAGAAAAATCCGAATTTTTTGATGAATACCATTTTTAGTTTCTTTTTTCTTTTTCTCATTCTAAACTTTGACATTTTTTTTTCACGAAATTTCCAGAAAGGTGTTTTTCCGATTTATATTTTTTCTTTTCAATTAAAAAAAAAAAAAAATTTTTTTTTTGTCGTATTTTTCATAACACCGGGCCAAAAATTTACGGGAATCCTCAAAAAACAAGAAAAAACGGGAATCCTCAAATAACGATGAAGATAGGTTTAAAGAATTTTTTTATATTTTTTTCCAAAAAAAA